GGGGGGGGGGGGACTGTAAAAAAAGCATGCATTTGTATGTTAGTGGTACCAATTTATTTAAAAATTTAAAGTTTGTATAAATATCTGCTGCTTACATACTATATATGCACACTTTTTTTTTTTTCTTTTTTTTCCCTGGCTTAAATTCAGATATGCTCTAAAGTCCGGAAATTGCAGTTTTTTCTTTCCCGAAGGTCGTTGTCCGTCTTGCTTTATTGTTACTTTACATTTTAATATATCTCAAGGGTCGCCAATAGTGAGCTTTCTCTTATTTGCTCGGTAAAATAAATCTCAACATCCCCATCATTCAAAAATGAGCATTGGCAGCAGTGCTCGCAAAAATAATCGTGGCACCTTTTTATTGACGGAATGCAGCGGCTCTTTCTCCTCCTTAAAATATAATGTCTAGAAAGTAAAACCTGTGTGAGTCACTCCTACTGGCAGCTAAAATATTGACTGATTTGACTGCCCAGAGTTGCGCTGTACTCTTAACTTGATGGCTCATCGTGCCTCGGGCTCTTTTCAGACAAACACGCACGCACCCCAGATATCCCCCGCTCCCATACTGACAAACGCGCTTTAGTGCGTTCCAACACACACCGCACCGCTGACAACAGAACAAAAGTTGAGATTGTAGCAAAAAAAAGTGAGGGACGTATCAGAATCCGTCCATTATTAGAGGAACCGGCAGACAAATGCTGCATACTGTTCCAGCGCTATCTCGAGGTTTTATATAAAAATATGCTGAAACCTTGGCTTCTGCTATGTGTGGTGCTTGGCGAGGGGAGGCCAATTTGAGGCAGGCTCGCTTTGCTCCACATGATAGCTGTCAGTGCCTGCGGTGACACAGAAGGGCCGAGGGGCTCCTCCCTCCGACAGGATGGCCAGATACACACAGTTCTGGTGAAAGTAAAACTACGTGTACACATATCATGGACATAAATGATAGATTATTTCTGAAGACTGCCCTCATGGGGCCCCACCATGGAAACCGAGGACAAAAATAACCGAGTCCCAGGTGGGTCTCATGTCCTGGGCGGTTGCCCGAGTTGCCCATGTCAGAAACCGCCACTGGGTCTGGGGGGCCTGGTTTGCATGTTTACATTTGTTTCTGCTTGTGAATAGTTTCCAACGGGAACAAATAAATTCCCCCTTTTCTATCAAATATATGTTCGTCCTGGATGTCTCGATTCGTAGCTGCAAGTTTATTTTAACGTGGAGTCGTGTCCTACGAAGCAAAACGAAGCCAGAGACATTGCGCTGGTAAAAGTTTAAAAAGATGTGCCACATATTCATCATACGTTATGAAACACGAACACATCTGAAACCTGATCACTGTTCACATGTGAAAACACAGCGTTTCATGGTTTCAAAGAAAAATGGGATTTTCGTGTTTTCACAGTGGTTTTACAAAACCACTTCTGAGGGAGAGTTTGGTTCATTGACCTATTGGAGCACATAATTGTGTCCAAACTTAAATGATCTGACTTTAACTAGTGTTGCTATGGACAGAAAAGGCTCCAACCAAGAAAAATAAGCACGTCTCCCTCTTTTTTTTTTTTTTTTTTGTCTGACTGCCTGCCTTGCCTCTCATTGTACAGTGGAGCAATTCTTACTGTTCTCTTGAAGGCCATGGGTTCTGCTTTAAACTCCTGGGATCTTACTGAGTAAAGCTTGCTTCCTTTTCCCTGGGATGCTTTCGTTGGGTGTCAAGGTGCCTGGGGTTCCTTCAATGTCCATAAAAATGACTTTCAGATTTAGTAGTTACTTTAAGTACCTGACTTCTCACCCAGTGATTCCTGATCTGAGGCAACAGCTGTCCAAAACCCTGCAAGTACATGCGGTTCTGAAAAAAATTGAACATTAATAATGTTAGTGTAATTCTGACCCTGTATGAATTGCAGGAAATGTATTGTAAATTCAATTCATGCAACTAATTCTCGCTTTTAAAATCAAATGCCTGTCTTTTTTTTATAATTTCACCTTCAAAGGAAAATGGCTCAAATACTTTTTACTCAAAGCCCCAAATTAGTGTGATATGCACACCCATTGAAGGGTGTATGGAAACTTTTCACTGGCGCTGTAAATGTAGAGCAGGTAGCCTTAAAAACTCTGGCACCTGGCACCGCTGCATCATTTAAGGCCTTGCCTTGGCCCGTTTCCAAGAAAGAGAGAGGTAGTGCTTTCACTCCTCGCCATCCTTTCCTCCTTCATACATGCTCTGTCTTTAGAGTACTGTGCAAAGTCAGCAGTCTCCAACCATCCACCTTTAGCACATCAAACGGATGCCCTCCAGCGTCTTCTTGAAACTGAGCTTTATAAACGAAGGGAACAACAGGGGATTTAAGGAAGAAGAGACAGAGTAACCATTAGTGTGGCCACCTGGTGGCTGCTGCTCTCATTTGTCCCCATCCTCTTCTGTTCCCACAACTGCTCTGGGACCATCTAAAACCCCAAGTTTAAAGCCTCATCTCGATTTTTAGATCAAGTGGCTTTTCCCTAATACAATCCAATTCTCCGTAAAATACCAATTACTGCAGGAAGAAGAAGAAAAAAAAGAGGCTCCGATCCCCCTGAAAGTGAAAGCAGCATTATTAGACCAGTAAGTGGTGTCTTTATGAGAATGCAAGCGTAGCAGAACATAAGTAGGGAGGCAGCTGAAGCAAAGGACATCAAAGAGGCTTACCTCGAGGAAATGCATGAGTGGGCTCAAATCACTTATCGTGATTAGCATCGCTCCCTCCACACCTCGGGGGCCTCGGATCCACGTGGGAGAAAGGAGGGAAGCAGCCGTGATTCAAAACCACGCCGAAAAATGCCACATTCATGGGATTGTAGTCGAATTAATGAGGTTTCACGGCCCAAGCACGATGAGGAATGAATAGTTTGTGTGGGGAGGGGAAAAAAAAAAAAAAAATACAAAACAAAACAAACCTTAAAGGTTAGGCGTGTGACGTCGCACATAATCATCGAGAAGAAGCTCTAATGAGATGCAGCAAGCAGTCGGAGAGAGAAGACGATAAAGAATCGTGGTGGGGAGTGTTTATAGTGGAGCAGGGGGATAGGTGGGTGGGCTATGTGATGAACCATGGCCTTTACCGCCCAGATTTATGGCGTTTTCACACGAGCAGCGAGTGGAAAGGTGCGCTGCGCGGATTTGATGTGTTTTACGAGCCGTGCACGCGGCGCACTCAGTAACCATTACACCTGTGTCAGAAAGCCTTCCATGAAGTCGACACCTTCCATTAATGAATCTCTGACAGCAGCGAGGCGCTCTTCAACTAAGCCCGAGACGTGCTAGGATAGCTCATTAATTTCTGTATTTGTTTTTGCCTGTGGATATGTGTGTATAATCTCCTTTAAGTAGTCTGTAGCTACTTCTCGGTCTCATTTTACGTTTTTTCATCTTTGTGTTTATTTAATACTCCTAAAATGTTCTCCACATCTCAGTTATGTCAGTAGCATTGATTATATTAGTCATTCTATCTGTTCCACGCAGCGCTCTGTTTGTGTAAACTACTGTTGTTCATTGTTTATGTTGTTTTCAAAGAATTTGCTCATAGAAAAGACCTTAGCATGCTATACCTAAATGAATGTCTGGACTTCCTTAAGTAAATAAGCTTGGACCAATCCGCACTATGAATTGAATTAAACTGTACTTTTAGGAATTTGCGTCACAGATCCCAAATGTGCCTCGGATTTAACCAGGTAACTCTGATTTATTTTGTATTTCTATAAAATTTAAAGTTCCTTTTCTTATTTTAAAATGTCTTGTGAATTTGTGGTGCGATGTAAATAAACAAAACATAATTCCAAATGCTATAAAGTCTGAAATGATAATCAAATCAGATCTTGGTTAAGCTTGATATTTGAATTGAGATCCCACCCAAACATAACCATCCACGAAATTTAACTATTTTTTCTAAATTCAACATGACATTTTTTTTTTTATAACGTGGCGAGTCGGAACAATTTCAGTACCATTTTGTTACGGCAAAATAAAGTAACGATGCTACCTTCAGTTGCTATAAAAATGCAATGAAATCCCAAAATTTCGATGTTGCATCTGAGTCTAATTGATCATTGTAAATAGAAACGGTTACATCACAATTGCTTAGTGACAAAGTGATCCTTATCCCCTCGGATGCTGTGAGAGATCTAGCAGGGTGGGGTGTTGTGCAACTGAAATTGTAACATCCGTCGTCCTCCGTGCCAAATATTTCACATCCCCGTGATGGGTAAAATACCCATCCCACCCCTAAACTTGGCACTCACTCCTTCTCTTCCTCTGTCTCGCTCCAGCCGCCATGCTTGGCTTCCTCCTCAGCTTTCCGTGCACATTGATCAGAGCAGAGCAGTCTTGCTAACAGAGCTTCGTCCACATGTTGAAGCTAACAAGGTGAAGAAATGATGAGGAAACCCACAAAAGTACTCTGTGGCTTCTTCCTGACCTGAGCACACTGTTAGTATTCCCCTTATTCTCAGAATAATCCGATGCATTACTCCCGCAGGAAAATGGAGACGCCAAGTGTGTGAACCTGCATCGGCTGGACCTGCGCTGCAAATTATAGGAATTATAAAGAGCTCTTGTGAAAAGCTGCTGTTGCTTTGCAACGTGAATCATCCTAGACCGAGTGCAAAGGCAGAACATCTAAACATGACGAGTTAACTGAAGTATCACACTCAGCTGGGCAACATATGGTGGCCAGTGGCCACAGACGCTGTCTGTATGTTTTAGTTTAAAGTACCATTTAAAAAAACAAACAAAAAAAAATAAAATTTGGCATGTCGGCACAAGCTGTTTTCATAAGCTAATGGTTGAGTTCTATAGCGTGGAACCATCTGAAGATGTTGGCTTCACAAGCACCTTCAAAAAGCCATTGATATCTGGATTTTAGTCATGAATAAATTCATGTCAGCCAAAAAACATGAGACGCGCACTATACATAACTAATGAGAAGACATCTGCTGCAGAGCTAGAATTTGATCAAGCAACAATTAATCATGTATCCTGGCTATTGATGCTTTTGCGGCAGAGAAATGGTGGCACAACACTACTTAGTAAAATAGAAACGTGTTGACTGTAACAGATGCCTTTCATTCATATCTTTTTACATGATGGAAATGGAAACAAACATAATAATAATAATTTCAGTTTTTGTAGTGACAAATGTTAATGGGCTATATTTGGGAAAAGAAAATGTCTGGAAGATGTCTGAAACATCAAACGGCAATGGTGAGAACCAAACAACAAGAGAGAATGATGCTAAAAATAAACTTACTGAGATCATTTTAACTTTAGATTAGCAATAGATATTCACTGTAAAGATACTTCACCAAAGTAAGAGTCTAACCTCTGTGATCGGTGAAAGTGTGCCGTTCACTTTTACACTAGACGGTGTCAAACGAACCAAACCCTTTGATCAACCTGTTTCCCTCCTCGTCTGTGGTGGCACTGCACCAACAACCACTGGAAGAAACTACGAAGACCTCTGAAGAAGACGTCGAGCAAAACTTCCTTCATGCCTTAAGATTTTAGTGATTGTAGGATTTCTTGTTTTTCTTAGGCACGAAACAGGCCATTTCTCCCACTATCTCTAGATACTCGCATTTGTTTTGGTTGCATTTACCCAAAATGCAACCAAAACATGCTATAGTCCACTTCCTGCTTTTGGAGCGGTCTCCGGTCCGGTTGGCATTGTCCATTCAAACTGTATCCGAGATCACTTTAGCCAGAGACCTAGGTTTTCAGTCAGGCTAGAGTTTGCTGTTTTGTTCCCCCTCAAAAAAACAAAACAACAACTTTAGAAACTTTAGTTATCTTACGAATTGTATACATAACATACATCAAATTAAATTTGTCTAAACTGTCTTCTGACCCTCTTAACCCCCTGAATTTTAGGCCCCCATCAGGATTACTTTGGACATTTTTTAAGCTGATATTTTTTTCTTCTTCGTTATTGGAGAAAACTATATTACTCATGTCGTGCCAGCCAGAGGCAAAAAACTACAATATTAACAACAATAAAATTCCAAAGAACAGTCTGTGCATGACCAAAGCAGGTAACGATTCTCCCAAAACAGTTACAGTTGGTGTTTTCGTCAGGTTACATTTGAACGTTAATGGAAAAAAAGAGCCAGGACAAACCGAGACGGATGAGAAAAGAAAACGTTCAAAAAATAAATACTTTCAGTGTAGATCTGTTTTTTCTACACACATTCGTGAACGACCTCATGTGGGTTCAGCAGAACGTACAGCCTTTGCAAACAATATGAGAAAGATGACATCGTGATTCAGCTTCAAAAGACTCCCCTATCCCAGAAATACTAGCGACATTAGCATTCCAGTCTTTTATATAAAAGCAACATCCTCAACAGTGTTGAAAGCCACTAAAAACACTCTGCAGTGCAGGCTAATTATATGACTGAAAGGTTGTCAGGGGAAAAACCTTGTAACTGGATCATAAACATTTCCGACTAGCGCTGCATAGAACCCTTTTTTGGGGGCTAATGATCCCCAACCTGTAAATTGCTAATTCATGCAAGCTAATCGGGCCGTCCCGACGTTTTTTTTTTTTTTTTTGTGACGTATAGGGACAGAGTGATGTAACGAGGCTAATGTGGTCTTCAAATGAAAAAACTCTCAGAAGAAAGTCACAAACGTGCCTGCTCTGTTTGTAAAAACTATTTTGTGTCACAGCCACCTTTCTAATATCTGCCTTGATGCATAAATAACTATAATATGTGGTCACTTTTAATTTATCTTAGCTGTATGTGAGCAGGGTTGTTCGTTCTGTGTGACTGTGGGAACCTGAACGATTGCTGATTAGTCCAGAGTGTCTTCTGCCTCTTGCTGATTTACCCGTGGAGAGGCGCATCAGCCCCTCGTGTCTGTGCAAGATCCTGGAGGCTGTGGAAAATGTATAAATGGATAGATATTTGGTCCCAGACAACATATGTGGGCTACATATGGATTTTTGCTTCAAAGCAATGCTAAGCCAGTCTGGACTCACAAAGGGCTTTTCATGTGGAATTCACTCTGGTTGATTAAATGCAACGCGTATCAGTACAACCAATCAGGAACTCCGTATAAATCTTAGCTGGGCCTTAAGTTGTCAAAAATCTGAAGCGAGATTGGCCAAATCATAAATTACCTATATGGCTCCGGACTTTACACAGTTTTCCTGCATCCTGATTTGAGTGATAAAGGAAAAAGCATTTCAGAACAACATGTGAAAATAAAAACTACCTGCTTCTGAAATGAGCAAATAACTTGACCAGACATTTCGGGAAAATTTCCCAGGCAAATAAACTGATTGAAATATCTTAAATGGAGCCTTTCTGATGATGTCAGAAAGCAAGCATCATTCCCTGGACTAAAGGAATTTGAGAAGAAGAGGAAAACGTAACGGATACAGAGCTATTTGTAAGACTTTTGTACTCCAGTGTACTGAATAAAGAAAACATTGAAGTGATTACGCCTTCCATGGAGTGACCAGCTTACTGAAATTTTTCCAGGGGAGCACCAACGACTCATTCGGGAGGTCACAAAAGAACCGAGAGCATCTACAGAGCTGCAGACTTCACTGGGCTAAGGCAAACAATCACATCAATTGGAGATTTCCAAGGCTAAAACCACTGTCAAACAAAAAAGACAAAGGCTCTTCAAGCAAAAACAAGTCGCTTTTTTTTTTTTTTTTTTTTTTTTTTTAAGGAAAAATTGATAAAAATTGGGGGCATGGGGGTTCAATGAAGGGAAGTCATATTCTGTAGCATTTCTTAGACATCTACATCCTAACTTCCTCTCTAGTCCTCTACGAGCGAGAGCAAGGAAAGATTCATTGGGTTCCACGTGTCTTCCCATTGGTGTGTGATCTCTTGGTCCTAGCACTGCCAACCTTATTATTTTGGAGATATTGACGGTGTGAAGTATTTCTGGATCCTCCCTGTCTGTAAGTTTCCACGGCTGACTGATTACCCACTTGTGACCTCAGAATTGTTTAATTAACCCCATCTTTGGGAGTATTTATGTATCTTCCACTCCTGGGTCTCTGCCTCATCACTCATCCTAAGAAGCACAAACATTCAAAAGTCATATCAGGGACAGACATTACTGTGCAACTGACATTATGTAGAGAGTGCTAATATTGGCCTTGGCACTTAAATGTCAAGTGTACTGAAAGGAACATGGATTGGTTTTATTGCGTTTCTATTGTGGAATGTGTTGGCTTCTGAAGTTTTCGTCTCACTTTGAATAACTGAAATGCAGAGAAGTTGATTAATTAGTTTTCAGGAGTACATTTAAGGAAATAAAGCAAATAAAGGGAAGAAACTTGCATTATTAAAATAAAGGGGTGAGATTAGAGAATTGGATTGCTCTTGTAAAGACACCAGTTGAAGTATTCCACTTCACGTTACTGGGATAAAGCTTGAGAACCAAATTTGTGGGGTCGATTGAAATGGCAAGTTTATCTGAAAGTGCTGCTGCTGTTGGGGAACCTTCACACTGCAGTTACCAAGGTAGGGCTAAATGGATGAGCCCTGCAAAGAAAAAAAAATTGAACAATGTTACTGCAGATGTTAGAGGGCAATGCATGTGCTCTGAAAAATAGGAATTTCCAAAATATACCCAGATTATTGCACTTCAGACAATTTCTCTCAACCCATGCCTGTGCAGCTTTCATAGATCTTAGTTCTGTAGATACTGAGTAAGACAGGACGCCTTTTTCTGCTAATCAGGGCTGAACTGACTCTTGTTCCTTCCCACTTCCATTTGTTAGCGCTTCATCGATGGTGCTTTTCCAGGAGTAGCTTGATAGATTGCTAGTGGTTACTGTAACAGATTGAATCTTTTTAAAGATTATTTTTTAAAACAATATCAGGAGGAATGGGCTAAATTTTGGGCAATCTGTTGTGAGACAACCACTGAAGGATACTTCAATGATCCACATCATGCAGTTTAGAAGGCGAGTCTGAAAAATACTGAGAAAATGAATGTGAACAGAACTACTTGACACTTGGCAAAAACACATATATTTGGTAGCCCTACATTTACTGAATGTAAAGTCTATGTCGGAGAATGAAGAGAAAAGAGTTGAGTACCTCTTTAAACTGTATATGTAAATGTCTGGTTATGACTGCATTTCTATATAATTAGATATGAAGTGGACCTGTTTGTCTTATAAGTCTCTTGATCACAGTGGTTGCGAATTGGTAATATATCGATAAAGTGAATCAATAAATAGATTATGAAATCTTAACTAGAAGGGGGATTAACGTTCTGTTATTGAATTTATCATATTTACAACACATTTAGGCTCCGAGTCAGAGTAGAAAGACCAGGATGACTTTTTATTAGCTCGCATGGAAGAAAATTGGTCAGATTAGTAGGTGTGTTTACTCTCCCTCTTAATGACACTCGTATCAAAAGGGAGAATTTGCATTAAAGAAGTGAATAAATAGGTTATAAAGGCATTAAAAAGACACATAATTAAAATGTCATATACCACGAGGGATCAAATTCATTTAATCAGAAAATTATTCTGATTGAATGGAAGATGAAGAAGGGAGCGGGTTGTAGCTTTGAAGTAAAGGTCATGCATCAACATACCAAATACTTGAGGGGTTTTATGTTATTTTTCACGATTGGGTGTATTTGTAATGGATCCTAGAAAAATGGGCTCATATCTATTGGATGTCATACATCTCTCTTGGCAGCGCTGCCATGTGACGTTCAGAGGGCTGAGAGTGACAAATATTTACAAGTTTAATTTAAGACGGAGCCGTGCCCTCCA